CCTTCATAGGCTATCATCTTGGCTAGCGGGTCAGCATCGAGAATGACGCCAGTAGAGAAGGCATCTGGTAACAGAACAAGTATTAGCGGGACTGGCTGCGTTGAGACGGCATGTGTTCAGAAATCGAATGGCGCTATTCCTACACTTGAAATTAATACTTCTCTTCTTCTTCAAGGTTCTATTTCTACCATTTCGCTTTCAGCGAAACTCTAATATGGTTACTTTGAATTCGTGAAAACCGAAAAGAGGCACAAAACCATGCATAGAGAATCAAATCACTCACCTTGTAAACATCATGGGCATCAATTATGCCATCGAAGATTGTGTAGAGACCGTTCAGCAGACTGACCACCTTGGAAAACAGAGCCCTATTGATGGAATTAACACTTTTATGAAAGGGACTTAAAAAGGATGATGCCAGATATACTGTGGCTGTTATAGTCCAGACTGTATTTTTGGAAGATATCCAGAATTATTCGGAAAGCTCCAGTTTTCTTGCTTTTGACATACCCTTTCTCAGGTAGCAAAAAAGCAAGCCAAAGATAACTGAGAAAGATGAAAAACTGGATCTGCTCCCATCACACAACGCCACGGTAGTTTTAGAATGTCATCTTTTTAGGCTTCTAACAAAAGAGAGGAGAATTGCTGATCGATTACTTTCGGGAGCTGTCAAACGGATGGGCACGAGTAGTATATACTTATGATGATTGTCACACTAATTGAAAACATCGCTCGATAAAGGTATGAAGAGACGCAAAACTTTTGTCCAACTTAATATTAAGAACGGTCTGGGAGCAGGTAGTACCGCTCCTACCGCTCCCAGATTGGTTGAATTTAATAAAATTAGAAGTCATACCTGCATAGGATTGCACTTAGCGGCAAGAGTTGTGAACGACACCACGTCAGAGAAAAACACAGTCACACTGTCGAACGTTTCTGGTTCGACAGACTGTCCGAGCTTCAACTTCTCCGCCACTTGTCTATGAACACAGAAGTTAACATTTCAGCGTTACTCGACACAACATCGAAATATCAAAGCCTTATGGTACGATAAATGTGCTCGGTCTAAAATGCTAGCAGGGTGCTCTATAGTGGGGAAAATGGCGAAAAAACGAAGTGAAATTGGTCAAAAACCTGCGAAGAAAGGCTTTCGCTCTTGAAGACTTGAAAAGCGATTTTTGACGAGTTTTCCCCGGGCACAGTAGGTATGGCTGCACGTAAGTACTCATTAATGTAAATCCCTTCGCTTCATATTTTACCTAGCGAATGGATACAAGCATCAGGCACGGTCGTCCATTTGTGGGCGGGGGCGGGGCAGGTGGTCCGGGTCGGTATGTTGCAGGATGATAGGGCCTTAACAGGGCACCTTCCTTGGAAAAGGCACTGTTCAACGCCTGCTCAGGGGCGCGGAATTCCTCCTGCCAGGTGTACCACCTACTCATCTTAGAGATGTATCGTGTCAACACTGCCTTTTAAAGAAAAGTTGAATGACAGTATCTGACGAATTCTAAGGTGAGTTTTCGCAAGAAGGGTTAAAGGAACTCCTTTTTGCCAAGGCTCCTTCTGTCCTACTCATACCAACGCGTACGACAAATGTCGACTCAAATGTAATGTAACTTTTATGAACATCTATTGTTGCTTGACGATAACTATCATTCTAACAGCGATGTTACAGATACGCGTGTTCTCAAGCAGCAAAGATGTTGTGTCTGATGACTACGCGTGGACGCTCATGACTGTATAAACATGGCGTGTTGGACAGATATAAGGAAGGATGGTGACAGAAGAAACATTTCGCTTGCTTTTCCTTACGATGCATATGTATATATTATTTATGCATATATTTATCCATTGTGTATATAACTATTAACTTTAATAAAGGTTTAATCACCCAATTCGAGGTGCTGAGCTTAAGGTGCGTCCCAGTGTCTGAGTTGGCCCAGTTTGTATACCACCGATCTCTTCATGGTGCATCGGCCAGGAATAGAACCCGCGCTGCCCGCGTAGCAGGCGAGCATTCTACCACTGAACCACCGATCACAAAGAGTATTCAACCATGAACAACTTCAAGTAGAACTAGAAATGGCAGCAGTTTTTCTGCAGCGCCAAAAGAAGATCGCAAACATCCTGGTCAAATAATAGGACCATCCCAAGGAGAGAAGACGAGTTCGTTTTCGCGTCTGCTGTAGAACGCGGCTAACGCACGCAGACAATGCGGCTAACGTCACATTGTCTGCGTGAGGCAGAGGTGACGAAGGATAGAATCCTCCGCATGGGAACCCGTTACTTGATCATGGATTTCTGGTACGAGTATATGACACAGTGCAGCGAAACTTCGAGTTTCGAGCGGCAGAATGGATCAAAAAAGAACGCGATTATGCTTTTGGACTTGAGGCGATTCTTGACTTAATGGTCAACCAATGGGACATTTTGATATCGAAATAAAGAAATGAATACGATGTTACAGAGTCAAGGGAAAGAGGTGTAAAAAGAAGATGAACTGACGAGTTTTCAGGTCCAAAGGATCGTTAGAAAAGAGATCGAGTCGCTACAGAACCAGATCGACTCTCTGGCAGAACTTGACAGCCTGAACAGGTAGAAGGTGGCCGCCGATCCTCCCGAAGAGGAAGTACAGAGAGAAGCATCCCCCGTCATCGCTGATAAGGATGACGAGTCTGAAGGGCAGATCAGGTGGTTGATGAGGAAAACGATGACGGATAGCAACTGTAACAGAATGATTAGCGAAGTAACAGAAAGATCGAGTTTTGAAAGTCCAGGACAAGTTAACATTTCAACCGAATCGAGTCGCGAAAAACCAAGACGAGGAGCCAAGACCCAAAATTAGTATAGTAGACTGGAGAACGGCAATCGCCAGTCGCATAAACATCTTAGACGAAAGACTGAACAGAATGCAACATGACCTCAACGTGACCCATTCAGGGATTGGGTTCATCGGTCCTTCGGAATTTCTCCATGGAGCAGGTAAGCGAGTTATATATTCAGGAGAAAGACGAGAAAATGATTCTTGTGACATCACCTGGCAGCCGGAGTGTCGACAAATGTCGACTCAAATGTAATGTAACTTTTATGAACATCTATTGTTGCTTGACGATAACTATCATTCTAACAGCGATGTTACAGATACGCGTGTTCTCAAGCAGCAAAGATGTTGTGTCTGATGACTACGCGTGGACGCTCATGACTGTATGCACATGGCGTGTTGGACAGATATAAGGAAGGATGGTGACGGAAGAAATAATCCACTTATTTTTTCTTACAAGCTTCCTATGTACAAATTCATTTATGCATATATTTGTCCATTTGTTATATAACTATTATCTTTGATAATGGTTTAATAACTCAAGTTTGAGGTGCGTGCGAGTGTCTGAGTTGGCCGAGTATGTACACCACCGATCTCTTCATCAGGCCCTCTCATGTTGATCTCACATTTCGAGTGACGAAAGACTCTATGCAAGTGCTGACCTGGATGCCAAATGTACGGGGGCTTTCATCGGAACATTTGAACGCGAAACTGCCCTCAATCTCGTGAACACTAATTTCTCATCTGCATCGGGTACCAGGGGTTTGCGGATGGGGCAAAGGTTGTGGTAAACGCAACTGCGCGGCCTGCTACTGATCGTATCCATTCTTCCCTGAAATAGAATCTCTTCCTCTTTTGAGCCACATCCTCAGCGAAGGAAAGGATCACTATTGTCGGCAACCAAGTCTGCCCTGTATAACCGTAAACCCCTAATTGCTCCAGCACACCGCTCGGCATGAAACCGCGTGCAGTTTGCGCTACAAGCAAAACAGGCGCGTGTTGCTGTCCCCATGACGCGGGCGCCGGATGCTTTCGTGCGAGGCGGATGTGACATTCGTACTCTATAGTCAAGCTACTCTGAAGACGAGTTCTCAGCACAGTGGCCGGTTTGAGGTACTTTGGCGCCGGCGTCTGCTACACGGGCGCCAAACTTCGGTCAAAAAGAGTGATATTTGCAATACTCAGGAGGTCTTACTACTCATGGGAATTAATTCCTAACCAGATCTGCCTTTGGAGAAAAAAGTCGATGAAAAACTAGCGTGATTTCGGAGGATTCTGGCAGTAGGTAGTAGAGAATGCCGGATATTTGATTTTACGATTTCTAATCTCACCTTGGTAGCATTCGATTCAACAGAACATCACTCTTCTTTTGTTCTTCCGCCAGCTGTTTCGTTCTGTCCTCTACCTCTCCCTCTAGTGTGGAAGCATACTGTTCGAGCATATTGAAGACGTAATCCATTAAGTTTTGACTTCTAAAGGTAAACGCAGTGACGTAGAGCTATCTACATAATATGACATCTATATCAAGGCGTAATTTGAGCTTCCACTTAAGTTATCGTGCCTTACCAGCAAGCATGATTTGTGAAAAATACCTGTTAGAATTCATGGATCTCAAATTCGACTTCACCATAGTTATAGGTGGCCTTTCAGAGGGGCGTTCCGTCCAGCAGTCACGGATGAGGTGTAACTGAAATTGCTCACTCTAACATCGCATTATTATTGAACTAATATTATTATTCCCACTCAATATCTGCTCAGCCACTTTCAATCAGCATCGAACGGCTGGGTACTCTTTTTGCCCACCAAGGAGAACCTTCGAAAAATAGTGTCGTGCATACTTGATGACGTCAGATTCAGTGAAGTAAAGTTCCTCTAGTCGGTGAGCAGAACGCTACTCCAGCAGTTTGATGTTCAGCAAAAAGTAGGTAAGCACTTCATTTCCAGCGTCAATGGGTATAACGTCCCCAAATGTGAAACAAATGGTTACGTGAGAAGGAAGTTAAAGGCAGTGGCACGATGCTGGGGACGGGGGGTTGCTGACAACGTTAGGTTGAAGGACAGAGTGGACTGCGGCCAAACGCCTTCTCGCAGCCCTTCCACCAATGAGTTGCCACCAAGTGCCCGCTGAAACACCGTGTCAGCTGATTTCTGGCCGCCACTATAAGTGCGATTGAAAAGCTGCGTTGCCTGGTGGGTAATGCACTACCACTTTTTCGCAGATATTAAGTGATGTATTGTGACATATCAGTTCCCCCAAGCTTTTACTGCATGTTCACCTTGTGTAGACGTGCAGGATTCTTTTTCAGGGAAGGGAAATTTGTTTATCCTCACAGAAGCATCACAACACATCAGTACAGCCCTTTTTATACGACTGTGTGATTTTTAGATGGGGCATTCATTTCTGAATTTGTATTGAAAGATTCAGAAACAGTGCACTGTTATCACATGGTACATGGGAAATCAAGGTTAATATAGTCCAGACTTCCTTATGTGAGCAGGAAAGAAACCTCAACCATTGCATCAGTCACAAGGGGATAAAGGCGACGTCGTCGTCCACTGAAACGCTGCCGTCGAAGCCCAGACGCTGTCATGGCTGTCCATCTTCATAAGAGAACCCACAGAATTTGCATTATGACTTGCAGCTCTGCAATTTCTCGGGCTGACTCCTTCGTCCTTCTCCTCCTTGCAGATTCCAGAAAGTACCGTTTTCTACGGAAGGACGTCAGACATATAAATTCTCGGAAGCATCGCTATGGTTCACGATTTATTTCTCATGATTCGACCCTCAGGAAGTTTATCGTCAGGCGTTTTAATATCCCACGTAATCAGTTTGACAGAATTTGAAGGCAGAAGGGGTAAGAACGGTTTCGAAAATGAGCGTCCAGATTCTCAATTGAGTTGTCACTTCGTGCAAGTAAGCAGCAGGAGAACGCTCCATGAACGCGCTTCGTTTTTGTCCGCTTCTTTTTTGTCTGCTCTAGGGCACAGAGTCAAACCGGCAAAAAACTTTGTCTTCTCACCTCATGATTCATCGTCTTGCCTGGCCCTGGGAGTATGAAATACTATTCAATAACATTTCTGTCTTCACTTTCCCAGTAAATACACAATCCTTGCAGGCTTTTCATTGTACCAATAAATCTACACAATTACTTGTAAACGGCATCTGAGAAACTTACTAAAGCAGGATTTGCTTCCATATCATCTCTGCCGTTGAGAGACGGACGTTGTTGATTGTGTCCTCCTTTCTTTACCAAATAGAGTATTTCTGAAGTGATAAAAAACACTTGTACTTACTGTACAGCGATGGATATTTCTGCTTGCTCATGCAGTCGGTTACTGGAACACTAATCAGAGTGTCGTGAGCATGTGTTCAAACTTCCCGGAAATATTAAAGGCAAAATCCGCGATCATTCGCCACCAGAGATAGTGGATTAGGAGTTCGCATATAGACGACAAGGTTGTGAGTAACTCGATAGTGAAGAAAAAAAGCAAAAAAACATGCCAACTGCCCTAATAGAACCCCATTCCGATTCCACTTTGTACGTGCCCAATTAACTCCATCTTCAGCACTATGCCCTCATCTGCACAGCTGATTCCCCAATAAGATCTCTACGACCGTATAAGTAACAACATTTATGCTTTCTCGTCAAGCACCTTCTTTTTTTACTGAAAGGTGGGCCTCGCGGATGGAGCCCGGAGGCGGAGTCACTGGAAAAAAGGAGGCGTCACTGAACCTGTACTGCGTTAGAGCGCCCTCCCTTACGTTGTTAGTCGCTGGCCACACTACCCTCCCGACGCCATATTTCAACTTCCATACCGGACCTTTAAGTCCCGCTTTCAACTTCTATACCGTACCTTTAGGTCCCGCTCATCTACCATGTCCTTTCAATAATGTTAGGGTGGTTGGAAAGTCTTGATAAACGCTTCCTAATATTTCATTGATTTTTTTGTTTGCTGAGAGGGGCATAACCAGTGAATCACCACTGTTAGTCACTCATGTAGACCACTCACACAGCAATTCCCCTGTTCCCGGGAATGGGGAGACTAGGAATAGGCGACCTCACGACTTCTGTCATCAAACGTTGCAGATTTGTAGGGCCACGCTCCAGGCAAATATGATGATCAAGCATAGCTCCCATGCCTACTCCCAGAGTTTTGGCGGGTCTCTTCAGCACCAGAGCGTTATCACGAAAAAGGTGCATGATGGGTGTTCAGGGCCGCTTTTTCCGGATAGCTTCCGCGAGTTAGAGCTGACTGGTGTGAACGGCAGCGACGACCTTATTCTTTTGCGGTAGCAGCTCGCAGTACAACATTCCCTTCAGATACTAGAACCAGCAGTTGCGAGCTTTTTGGAGTGAAGGAGCAATCTTGCTTTCGTAGGCGGCTCCTCTCCTCGGAGAAGCCAAACAGCACGGTGCGAGCAGAATTGGTAAAGAACCCAAGTCTGATCTCCAGTAACCAGGACTCTTAGGTTAGGGACTCCTTGTGATGCGAGCGGAGGAGAGACAGTCAGGCAAACTGATGTACCGTGTGCTATCCAACGGTATAAGGGACCCACCAAGTCAGACACTTCGGCAGCGGAAAGCTTGCAGGCGATTGACGACTGTCGATGGGGATACACCCGAATCTCGAAAGTGGTGTCCTAACCAATGCACTGCTGATGCTGCGAACCGACTCGAAGCTGCAAGCTGCAGCTGTATTGATAAAGGAAGGAGCGCGCTCTTCTACAGCTTTTTCAGGGAATCTTCGAGAATGTTGTGCAACAGCAACATCATGGGTATCGATCGAAAATAAAAAGTTGAG